CAAACCGAACAATGGGATATTATTGGGTTTATGAGGCAACGATCTGGGCCACAAAATGAAGTAGGAGGTGGCAGCAAAGAGAAAACATGTGAGATAAGAGAGAGTGAATCATCGTAAGGTAGTTAATTGAGGCGACATACAACTTTGGGGGGAAATGCTAGTATGGAAGCAATTAAGCAAACCCACCTTTGAAGTCTTCTTTGTCAACTAGATGCAATGATGACCGGAAACAACTAGGCAGGTTGTTGATGCATGCAACCAAGTAGGTAGAGGACATAGGAGGTGTCGTATGGGAGGAAAAGTGGTGTAACCTAGATCTATTGAGAAATCAACACGTTTTGACATGGCACGTAAAACCAAGCAAGAGATGGTGAGCAACTTCGAGGAAAACACAGACAAAAAAGAAAAACACGTTTTGACATGGCACATAAAACCAAGCAAGAGATGGTGAGAAGCTTCGAGGAAAACACAGACAAAAAAGAAAACCTCGCGGCTAAGGAGATGCGATCGTGAGAGAAGCCTGAGGTCAAGGAAGATAACGTGAGGTATTAGACTAGACATTTATAATAGTTTATGGTACTAAAGTGTAATATTATCTAGTGTGTGTGTGTGTGTGTGTGTATATATATATATATCCCTATGTAATTTGTATTGGATTAGTGTCTAAGTCCATAACTATTTTGGTATGTACTTGACTCGATGGTGCATAGTCCTTTTGGGTTGCCTTCACCAAAACAACTTGATAGGATGACTTATGGAGAGAAAGGATTAAATATGATTTATTAATATATTATGAGAATAATATATTAAAGGAGAAATCATATTGTTTAATTAATATTAGTCAAGAATTAATAAGAATTAAGTGTGTGGCTAAAAGAGATTAATTAAACTTAAGGGACTGGAATTGTAATTATAAGATAATTGCAATTGGGCTATGGATTACCTTATAATATAAGGTTGGACGAATTCTATGGGGAAACCCATTAGAAATCGTCCAAGGCTTATTAAAGAAGGGTTCATGGGTTGCTTAGGGCCTAAGCATCCAATTAGGGTTTCCTAGTTAAAAACCCTAATAGCCTACATGTATATATATATAGTACCCTTAAGCCCTAAAAACGTGGTGAACTTGTTCTCTAGGGTTTCCACACGTTTTGAGTAGCCTCCTCTCTCCTTATTCTTCATCCTCTTGCTCTTGGTGTTTGTGAACCATTAGAGGAGTGACATTTGTGACTCTAAGCTTTCTAAAGTCATTACAAGGAGGAATTGTGATTGTTATTGCTACATAACAATCAAGGTAATATCTTAAACCCATTATTATGTTAATATTGATTATCATATGCTAGATTTAGGGTTTAAAGTCTTGGATGAATAGCATGTACAATAGAGAAACCTAGATCCAAGCATTAGGGTTTGTATGAGCACATAGGATGTTCTTTTGGGCAAAACCCATCAATGGTATCAAAGCCTAGATTGCTTTCTATTGTATTGATGAATATTTGATCGAAATCAGCACTGAAAATCGAAATTTTTTACTTCTGAGTGTTTGACTCGCCGAGTCACTTGGTGAACTCGCCGAGTCAGCTATACTCGATGAGTCCAGGTCCAGACTCGACGAGTCAAAGCATCTGATAGCTCATATTCGCGATTTTCTTCCTGTTTTGGCTTTGGATAATTACCATAAACATGTTTTTGTTATAAAATCCGAATTTTATTAATATTTGGTGATTATCCTTACCTAAATAGAAGATAATTGTCAAAATTTAGATAATCATTTGTTTTATTAGATAAAGTTTGATTATTTGTAATTTAGATTTGAATTATCTTGTGAAAAAGTTTTAATTTTTCCCCTTTAGGTTTTATAATTTAAATTCGAACTTAATAGTTTTGTTTTTGAAATTTAAATAGTTAAAACCCTAATGTTTTGAAATGTTTCAAAACTTTCCCTCAAGTTTTGAATTTAAAAGTTAATTTAGAAATGTTAAATTCTAAAACCCTGGTATTGTTTTGAAAAGTTCATAACACATCCTTATGGTTTTATTAATTAATTAAGTTGTATAATTAAATGAGATTTAATAAATCCATATAGTTTTTTGGTTTACAATTGAATTAAAAGTATAATTATTAAATTTAACCACATAGTATTTTAAAAGTGTAAAATACACCCTATACTATATATAACATTAAAAGTTTAACATTATATATATGAGTAAAAGTTAGTCTTACCGTTAGTAGGTCTCATTCACGAAGCTGGTCTATAAGGGGTGTTTAAGGAAATTGCTTATAAAATGGCGATTGAATGGGTATCCACTCTTACCCACCGCACTCTTGACTAGTGGAGGGTCGTTAGCCGAATGGGTAGGATAGGACAGAAACCTTCCATTATAAGTATAATGAAGTATAAAAGTAACTAAATGCTTTCATAAAATTCCCAATCTTAGTTACTTTAGGCAAAAGTGAATTGATGCAATTCCATGAAATTACACTTTGTGCCCTTGCAAAGATGTTAGTGGAGCGTGTGTGGTTAAGCGGCACACTAAATGGTTCTAAGCAAAGGTAGAAAAGGGTGACTCAATGTTTGTCATAGTTCGGTGGAGCGTGTGTGGTTAACCGGCACATCGAATAGGTGACTGTAACATGTGGGGGCACCATGTAAGTTTGCATGGTTATTCACACCCGCTTTGTGATCATCGGCATCCCAGTCACAAACTAGAGGGGCATATCGAGATTTAAACATGCCATTGAAATGTTCAATGAATCTCAAGGATCTAGGAGTTTTCATAGATTTAAAACTTAAATTTCTTTTTCGTTCTTAATGGTGGAAATTAGTGAATCGTCATTCACTTACCTTCAAATATTCTGCAACTAGATGATGGCAACTTCGTGCCAACCTATCAAAAGCTTATCCTATGCCTACACCGATTAGCATTAACGCCAACCTTGGCCTTAGCGATAGTCCTCCACTTGATGACCCATTTCAATGTCGTCGTATTGTTAGTGCTCTCCAATATGTTACCTTGTTAAGACCTGATATTACATATGTTGTCAACAAAGTCTGTCAATTCATGCATTCGCCCACTGTTAATCATTGGTCCACTGTCAAGCGAATTTTGTGATATCAAAAGGGTACTTCAACATATGGTCTCCACATTCATCACAACTCTGGCACCTCTCTTCATGCGTACCCTGATTCGGTTTTTCACAACCTCACCGCTTTTTTTGATGCGGATTGGGCTGGTTTCCTAGATGACTGTCGATCCACCGGGGGATATGCTATATACATTGGATCGAATCTTATATCTTGGTCAGCACAAAAACAAAAGACTGTCTCTCATAGCAAAGGCGTGACAAAGGCGTCCCACATGGCCTGCTATATCCTCAAACTTAATGGGACTAATTGATTTTTTAACGAAAATGACAAAATTGATACACAAATTAAGAGTTTGGTGACCTATTGTACAAAAAAGACTTCAGTGACGAAGTCGAGCCAAATGCAATAGTTTGTTGTGCTAAAATGTCATTTGCCTTTTTTTTTTTTTTTTTTTTTTTTTTACATCTGTTCGAGTTTTTTCGCCTCTGTTTTTAAAAATGATGATGTGATTGTGTTGTACTATTGACCTGCTACTGTTGTATGACTGACCCTTATTGTTAATTGTTATGTTACAATGTGATGTATGTTAGTGATTTGTTTCACCGATTAATGTTCAGTTTTTTAACATCATGAATTTAGATTTAGATGGTCGTTTAATGTTCACTATTACAATGCAAATAATTGAGCTTGAATCTGTTATTTGTTTTTATAAATTTGATATTGTGTTTGCTTTCATGATTCCGAGATTTTTTTAATTCATAATATGATATTGATATTTGTTTTCATAATCTGGTATTGTGTTTAGGTTTATTACATTTTCTGGAAAATGGCTTTAAACCCAAAACTTGTGAACCCATGTGGGTTGAACTTAAAAACTGACAAACCGAACTCATTGGGTTCTAAAACCCGAAAATTGAAAACCACAGGTTGGGTTCGGGTTTACCTCAGAACTGACCCAGGGTTGGGGGTAGCTTGGCATAATATCAAAGTGTTTCCATTCGATTCATCATGTTTTTTTCTTTGCTATTAGGTTTTTTTTGGTTTTATTGTTATGTTTTCGTTAGGTCTTTACTTCCCTTATCTCTAAATTTTAAAATAGATTACTATACGTATGTAATAGTTGTGAGATCTATGTATTACATGGGTTAATTTAAAAAATAAATAAATAAATATAAATGTCTAAATATTTGAGAACTTTGAATTTATATGAAAATAAGAAAAATAATGAATTATTATAATAAAAATGTTTTTTATCTTTTAAATTTAAACAAAAAACTTAATGAAATAAACAAAAAAACTAATGAACTTTAATTTTGAGAATTTTGAAATTAAAAAATAAGTTTATTAATGATATTGATATCTATTTTATTACTACATTTATTGTAATTATTATATTAAAACATTATGTAGAATTAAAAAAATAAAAAACATATTAAATGAGAATGTGATAAGTAATAAAAATAAATCTGAGAACCTTATGATCTTGATTTTCACAGTTGCTGGTATGCTCTCTCTCTCTCGCTCTCTCTCTCTCTCTCTCTATATATATATATATCCCTAAATGTTAAATGTTTATATCAGGTATCTTCTCAAAATTTTATTAGGATAGTATCAATCAAATGCTACATGTGTTCATTTAAAAGGTTATGCTTTCCTAAAAAACACTATGGTTTTTGATGAGAAAAATGATGGATTTGAATTTTTCCAATTTAAAGTTTTTAATGTGATTTTATAAAAAGTACATATTCAATTTTCATTTTATCCCCTAACTAGAACAGCATATTTTAAAAAACCTAATGGGGGTATATGCGTAAATTAATCTCAGCATACCCTACATATATTCACGTTTGAAACGGCGTACAGATTTTGCCGGCAGAAAAGCCGCCACGTACGGTGGCCGATAAACGACGAAATGTCCATTAATACAGACGACTACTCACCGGCGGAAACCCTAATTACCTTCGACCACCCAATACCTCTCATCCGACGACCCATACCAGCCGGAACCGGAATCGGAATAGACGATTCCGTCGTCCTCGGTTTCAAAGACCCTCAATCTTGGGCATCCGCATACAAATCGTGTGAGTCAAATATCATACAACAATGCGAGGCCGGTGTTCGGATCGGTTGCTCCGTGAGCGCGTCCAGCAAATGCGCCCCGCCATGGTGGAAATCTCTAATCGGCGGTGGTGTATCCAAAGAAGAATTAATCGAGAGAGAAAAGTGCGAAGAACGAGAAATGGCGGAATGTTTCGAAACTTCGAGAATGAATTGTCGTAAATTTGCGGAAGATAAGTGTTTGCCGGCGTTTAGAGATGCTCGAGTCATGGTGAAAGCTGGTAGTGGTGATGAAGAAGTGAAGAAATGTGTGTCGGAGTTGATTGGTAGGGTTTGTATGGGGGAAAATCAAAAGAGGGTTGGTGGTGTTGAATTGTGGACATTGAAAGGTTCTTGGACAGAATTCAAATCTAGAATTGGATTTACGATTCTTAGAGGAAGTGATCTGCTTGAGAAGCAGTTCTGAAGAGAAACTTTGGGAGCAGAATTTGCAAAGGATTCATCCAAATCTAAGAGACCTTATACAATGGTAATTTTGTTGTTAATTAGTTAGAATCAACAGTTGTAATGCCTTGAAAGTTTTCTTGATAAATATGCTTACATGATCCAATACACACCTTGTGTTTGCGATAGTTTATGTTAGGACTTTGTTAAACATGTGTTACTAGCCTTTATTCCTAGGTCTACTGTTATGGTGCTAATTATACAAGCTTGGTCTATAACTAAATACTAAAAAAAAAACAAATAAAAAACTTATATATACAAAATTAACTTGTAAAAGTCCATTTAGAAATAATATGAGGCACTAAAAGATAGTTGGTGACAGTGAGGATTTTGGGTTTAATGTGGTTAGAATTTGCATTTTCTGGTTGGAGTGTAGAGACGACTTTGATCATATAATGTGTTTGTTAGAAAAAGAATCGGGGACATGCTTCTATCTAATGTTGCTCATTGGAGTTGTCGCCAAGTCTTTTGTGGGGATTACTTTTTCTTTCAAACAACTGGAAACAATAAATCATGCAAACAATAAAAAGTCTTGTGCTAGTTTGTCCAAGTATAAGTCTTGACTTTTGTCACTAGTTTAATAGGTCTTCATTAACATTACCTGTCATCTTATCTTGACATATAATGGGATATTTACCTGTCATCTTATTTTGACATATAATGGGATATTTTCATCCAAGCAACAAGTTTCGTGACTATGAGCTTGTTTGAATTGCATCTAGTCAGACAAGTCTTCTTCACTAAAGTTACAGATTTGTTTGTTTGTCATCTTGACAATAGAGTGTGTGGGAGACTGTATAAGGGTTAATGATTAGGAGGGTAATAAGGTTTTAACTTTGTACACATTAGGTATTTAACGGTCCCGAGTTCTACTTAAAGGAGAAAAATGGGAGGATACGGAAGGAAAGTGAGGGGTGTCGAAGGAAAATCGTGTTCCCGAGTTTTATTAACGGAAGGAAAGTGAGGGGAGGGAAAAGATTTTGGAGCCATATTTTCCTTCCAAATTGGATGGATTTGGGAAGAAAGTGAGGGTAAGGAAATTTTAAGTTTTATTTTCTTTTTCCTTCTAACTCGGGAACACAAAAATTTAAAATTTTCCATTCACCTCTCATTCTTTCTGTCAAAATTTTTCTTCCCTTTTCTTTAATGAATTTACAAAAGAAATTGGGGAACAATGCGTTTTTTGTATATTTTACATCAATATGGTTGTTATAACCGTTTAAAAATGTTAATAAAGTTTTAATTTTGTCCACATTAGATCCCTATTTTTAATTTTTTTATCACTTTATCTAACTCTTTTACAATTTATATTAGTATCTAGTTAGATGGTTTAATCATTTCAAATTCTCATTTTAATCGCCCATTCACCACAACCACGGTTTCAATTGAAAGGTTTCATAACAATTTTTTGTCATTTTTACAAAAAAAAAAAAAAAAAAAGAAGAAAAACTAATAATAATCAAAGTCTTAATGATTAAGGTTATGTTTGGCGTCACAACTAACTGATAAACTATTTTATTTTGTCGACTTTTTTTTTTAAGTTGTAATGTTTGATAAACTAAAAAATAGCTTATAAGTTAGCGTTTTAAAAAACTGTTTAAACTAGTTTTTTAAAAGTTTTTTTATTTTTATTTATTTATTTATTTATTATTATTTTTTTTAATTTCCAAATATCCCCTTAATTAGTTAAGAAAACATATTTTTTTTAAACGCCCTTTTATGTCATTATATAAATTTCAGATAGCTTATAAGCCAGAGCCAGACTCAACTTAAAAGAGTATCCCGACAAGTAATGAGGTATCCCCGATAAGTAATGGTGTATCGGGGATACCCCAGTGCCAGAGCCATTACTTATCGGGGATATCCAATTCTTTATAATATGGACGACAGTGAGTCTAAAACCATCGTCCAAATCTCAATCGTTCAAATTCCTCTCATGTTTAAACCTGACCGTAATAACTCAAGAATTATGGTTTCTTTCTTGGCTTGCACAATTGCTACCAGCGGTTCCCTATCGACCTGCGCCTTCTCCGACTTCTTCTCCCCACTTCTCAACTACAACAACGGTTCCTATTGGTTTTTCATTCGTGCACGTCTCCTATTCTTTAACCTCTCCATCTGTTATATATTGCATTCACCACTTCCAAAACAAATTTTAGTTCTTTTCTACATAATTTTCCTATGCATCGGTTGATTATTGACCCTTTTTCCATTAAGAAGATACTAGGATCGACAATTTCACTTCGGAAATTGGCTTCAAACTTTTCCTGACAAATCGGCATGGATACAAAGCGATATTTCTTCTGGAACTCATTTATTTCTCGCGTTGTAAGGAACCAAATTGAAGAACTTTTCCTTCCAAATCACATTTATTTCCTTCTTCCGAATCACAGGTAATTGAAATCTCTTTCTTTTGCTAATTTATACCCTTTGGTGTTTCTGCCCATGGAAATCAACAATTCGCCCGGGTATATACTAAAAATTGAAACCTATTTCGATTTTATGTCTTAATCTATATCGATTGAACTAGTTTTTTTTTTGGTATTTTTATTTTGGAATCACATAAGAAGAAGACCTGCAAATGTTTTAAGGAGCTCGGGTTTGAAATAGATCAGTGGATGCATTAAATCTTGAGGTTTGTTGACATTCTTGACTTTTATGTTAGTTTTGGTTATATAAATGACTCTCAGTTCATATGTTCAATTATATATGATTTATTTCTCACAATTTGTTGTTGAGTTTCATAGCTTCCGTAATTTACTATCATCGTGTTATATATGATTTATATATCTAACCACATTTTGACATTTTGAATGGTTCTTTCTTAGTCATCATCGTGTCCCTGTTGTATTTTCTCATGGAAAAAGGTCAGCTATTTGAGATCCAAAAGGAAAAAATATATCGACTTTCTTGAAACCCACTCTGTAGTTAATCAGGTAAGATACACATGAGGTTTAATTTAAATAGTTATCTGTTGACATAAGTTCTTGATCAACGGGCATAATTGGTTTTTTGCTACAGGGGCATTTTCACCCAAAGATCTTGATAACCTTAATTGACTAGGCATAAACCCTACATTTTAAGAGTTTTTAGTCATTTTTTGTTTTTGTACCATAGTTGTTTTGGGTTGGTTCTACATAAATTTGGGATTTGGAGTTGCTTTGCTCATTTTGTCCATCTTCTGGTGTTCTTTGACAAAGGTGTCTCCTCCTACAAGCTGGCTTTTAGGAGTGAGTTCTACACTTGGGCTTATGGTATGATACGGGCCTAGTATGGGATAGGTCCGTATCAATTGGTATCAAAGTCGTCCCCATCTTTCGAGGTGCCAACACTTGGAGTGGTGGCTTGGACCCTAAAAGAGGGGTGCCAGCCGTGACCAACAATGACTCGGAGTGGTGGCTTGGACCGAAAGGGGGTGCCAACCGTGACCAACTAGGACGTTGGCTCTTCAAAGCGTGGGGTATTGTTATGATCCCACATCGGCTGAAAGTATTATAAGTTGGTGGCTTATAAGTTTAGGTGTCCCCTCCTCCTACAAGCTGACTTTTGGGGGTGAGTTCTACACTTGGGCTTATGGCATGATACATCTTTGATACCAATTGATACGGACCCATCCCATAACAATACCTTTCCTAGCCTTTAGTAATTTACAAGATATGTGAATTAGTGATTTTCATGTTATCCCATGTTACCGACAAGAGCAAATTTTATGGTACATTGCTATTTCTAACGCCCCTGTATATATGTCACATTTTTTCTTATTAGTACTTTATTTTCTTACCAACATTTTCTCTTTTGGCAAATAATTATGTATTTATGCCAAAATTTCATCATTTAGATTATGGTACTGTTTTCAAATAACAGGTTCCTATGTTTGGAAGGAATGAGAAAGATAAGAAAAAGATATTGACTGGATCACATTTCAAGGAACTAACCTTCCTTTTGCATTTATAAGGAAGAAACCATTTGGCAGAATTTTTTTATGGTGACTGAAAAGTTTTTCTTATTCAATTCTCAACTTTTGGCATTTTTACACTTAACTATAAATGCTCTTTTGATTATCAACCAAAAGACAAGTTGTGTTTTGAGTTTTTTACTTTTCGCAACCAAGCTGACAACAATGAGGGAAATTTTGTAAAAAAATGAGGACTTAATGTGAAAAATTGCATTTCCTTCACTTTATCTATCACTTGCTTCTTTCTATATTAAGTCAACAAATGGATATACACTGTTGTATCTTGCTTTTAGCCCATGATGGGGCCAAATGCAAGAAATAGCAAAGTACTTTTATGATCCAGTGGTGTTTTCAAGAAATCGAACGGTAATGCAAAACCAATCATGGGAATTGTCTTTAGATATTTCCTTGGGGTTTCTTTTCCATCTGTTTTTCTAAACAAGGTAACTTCCAAATCTTGGATATTATGTACTTATATTACAAAAAACTTGTATTTGATTTATTGTGATATGTTGCATGTTATCATACTTTCAAGCATTTAATCACTATTTGATGTGACAATGCCTGAAGATCAATATATCTCTCTTGAACATAGGTTCCCTAACAATCTTGGTTATGGTAATACACCTACAACACTCATGATATATTTTTTGAAAATAATTTAGAAAGAATGGTTAATATTTAATAGTCAAACATTTTTGTTAAGTTATTGCTCCTTGGTTCTAGATAAATGTTCCATTAAATCCATGTGGACGTGGTGTTGATTCATTGCCACTAGGAATGTATTTTGATAGTTTATTTTAATAAATTTATCATTTGATAGTGGTTTTCTTGTCATTTTCCTATCAATTATTACGGATATCTAATGTAAGCATTGTTAAAAGCCTTAATTTAATTTATGATTTACGGATATCTATGTTTTATGCAAATATGTAATAACAATATCAGTACACGTGTTCCAACACGTATGAATAGAAGAAGTCATGGTCAATTTGTAATACCTGGTC